GATGCATCATGGCGGCATATAATTATTCTGATTAAAAACGCACGCAAACGCGGGTGTCCACGCAACGAGAATCAATGGAGTTGATTATTGGAGTTCAAAATACGATTTCAATGGAAATTTCGGGTAAAAATATTTTAATTTTTAAAAGAAAAGTGTTGACGATTCATTAAATTTTTTTTGATTCCTTAAATTCAAATTAAAATATCATCACACGTTGCTGTTTAAACGTCAGTTTTAGCTGGCCATTTCATGAAATGGTCGGCCGCATCATGAAATGATCAATTTTAAGACCTGGCCATGACATATAGACTACCACTAAGCATGATTCCTGAGCCCTTACATTTTTTTCTTTATTTATACTATACTTCTAAAATTTTTATGTAGGTATAATTCTAACGATTATGGGTTGTCAGATATAAGATAATCTTTAACTACTTCTTCATTTTGTCCTTCTTTGTTGTTGTAAAGTTGAAAAATAAAAAGCCAAAATGATTTAGTGACATCCTACAGATAATGGAATAACAGCTTCAAAATGCCATGTCAGAAATACTCGGACAACTACCGAAAGTAAAATTGAAGCAGCAAAGGGTCTGCTTAAATCAAATATAAAATGGTCCCTTTTACTCTACTCTACTCTTAACCGTGTAGTGGCGGTCAAGAATACCATTACCCCATATCCTCCCGTGGGTGTCGTAAAAGGCGACAAAGGGAAACAGGCAGGAGATGGGCAGCAGCATCTTCCTGATAATAGCCAAAATTACAATAAAAAAACTGCGGTTGCCAACCCGCTCGCCAAGCGTGGCAACTATGGCAAATACCCCCCTATGAATGTAACAAAGAGACGGCCCCCAGTCCCCGGCGGCCCCGCTATTCCTGGCTACGGTGGCGACCATGGTAACGGCGGGGCAGGGGGTGCTAAGAATCTCCGGTGGAGGTTCGGTTGCCACCTTAGACGACTCGACCTGGCAACGTACAACGCACGCACCCTGAGGACTGACGAGAAGATCGTGGAGCTGGAAGAAGAGATAGACAAGTTGCGCTGGCATATTATAGGATTATCCGAAGTCCGAAGAGAGGGGGAGGACACGGTAATCCTCGAATCCGGCAACTTGCTCTATCACCGGGAGGGCGACCATCTGTCCCAAGGAGGTGTCGGATTTATCGTCCACAAGTCTCTCGTTAACAACGTTGTAAAGATCGGGAGTGTGTCGACGAGGGTTGCGTACCTTATACTCAGAATCACCAAACGGTATTCGCTGAAGGTCATACAGGTTTACGCACCAACCTCGGCACACCCCGATGGGGAGGTGGAGGAAATGTATGAGGATATCTCTAGAGCCATGCATTTCTCCAAAACCCAATATACGGTGTTAATGGGAGACTTCAACGCAAAACTAGGCACAACAGAGAACGGTGAGCTGAACGTAGGGAAATTTGGAATAGGGCAACGGAACCCAAGGGGCCAGCAGCTGGCCGACTTCATGGAGAAAGAGGGACTCTTTATGATGAACTCTTTCTTCCAGAAGCGGCCCCACAGGAAGTGGACCTGGTCGAGCCCCGACGGTTCGACAAAAAATGAGATTGACTTCATTATGACGACCAGACGACAACTGTTCAGTGATGTCTCCGTGATCGCGAGGGTGAAAACTGGTAGCGATCACCGAATGGTTAGAGGCACACTGAACCTAAACGTTAAGTTGGAGAGGTCTCGTCTAATGAAGTCAACGCTCCGTCCCCCTCGTGCTCTGTTCCAAAGTCCCGAAACCTTTCAGCTCGAGTTACAAAACCGTTTTCAGTGCCTAGAAGACTGCAATGAAGTGGACGATATGAATGACAAGCTCGTGGAAACTGTCCATGCGGTCGGAGCTAAGTTCTGCAAGACCCGCCGCAGAAGAACACAAAAACTCTCCGATCACACTCTTAATCTCATGGCTGTTAGACGGGAGATGAAGCTACATTCTTCAACAGACTTGACAGCATACAGGCATCTGAACAGACAGATCTCCAAATGCATGCGGCGGGACTTACGCAACTTCAATACAGCTCGTATTGAAGAAGCGATCGAGCGGAACCAAGGCTCCAAAGTCTTTGCCAGAGATCTGTCTGCCAGAAAGAGCCACCTGTCAAAGCTGAAGACAGGATGTGGCAGCATCGTTTCCGGGACACCTGAGATTTTGAGTGAGATTGAGAGGTTCTATGGGCAGCTGTACACGTCATCGTTGGAGCCACATGCAAGTGTGAGTAACGATCCAAGAGCGAGTCTCATCCGACTCTATTCCGAAGATATCCCGGACGTCAGTCTGAGCGAGATTAGAATGGCTCTCCAGCACCTTAAAAACGGTAAGGCCCCAGGCGAGGATGGAATTACAGCGGAGCTTCTGAAAGCAGGTGGAAGACCGGTACCTGAAGTCCTTCAGAAGCTCTTTAATTCCGTCCTCCATGGTGGCATTACACCGGAGGCGTGGAGCAGAAGTGCGGTGGTCTTGTTCTTCAAGAAAGGTGACAACGCTCTCTTGAAGAACTACAGACCGATTTCCCTTCTGAGCCGCGTCTAAGTGCTGTTTTCGAGAGTCATTACGAATCGTCTCGCGCGCAGACTTGACGACTTCCAGCCTCCCGAACAAGCCGGTTTCCGAAAGGGCTTTAGCACCATAGACCACATACATACCCTTCGGCAAATTGTACAGAAGTCCGAAGAGTACAATTTGCCACTATGTCTGGCGTATGTGGACTATGAGAAAGCCTTTGATTCCGTCGAAATTTGGGCGGTGCTGCAGTCCCTTCAGCGGTGCCAAGTTGACTGTCGGTATATCGAAGTGTTGAAGTGCTTGTACAGTAGGGCTACGATGGCTATCCGAGTACAGAACCAGAGTACGAAACCTATCCAATTGCAGAGAGGTGTAAGACAGGGTGACGTCATATCCCCGAAACTCTTCACCGCTGCATTGGAAGACGTTTTCAAGCTTCTGGACTGGAAAGGATACGGTATCAACATCAATGGCGAGTACATCACTCACCTTCGATTTGCCGACGATATAGTCCTTATGGCAGAATCGCTGGAGGACCTAAGCACTATGCTCAATGACCTCGATAGTGTTTCCCAACGGATAGGTCTTAAGATGAACATGGACAAAACAAAGATCATGTTCAATGTCCATGTCACACCTATGCCGGTAGTTCTTGGGAGCACTAAGCTCGAAGTTGTTGACGAGTATGTTTACCTGGGACAAATAGTCCGACTAGGTAAGTCCAACTTCGACCGAGAGGTCAATCGACGGATTCAACTCGGCTGGGCAGCGTTCGGGAAGCTACGACACATCTTCTCGTCAGACATACCTCAAAACCTTAAAACGAAATTGTACAACCAGTGCGTGTTGCCAGTGATGACTTACGGAACTGAGACGTGGTCCTTCACTGCTGGCCGTATGAGGAAGCTCAAGGTCGCTCAGCGAGCTATGGAGAGGGCTATGCTCGGAGTTTCTCTGTGTGATAAACTTAGGAATGAGGATATCCGCAGTAGAACCAGAGTAACCGACATAGCCCAACGGATTAGTAAGCTGAAGTGGCAGTGGGCCGGCCATATAGCTCGAAGAACCGACAACCGATGGGGAAGAAAGGTTCTCGAGTGGCAGCCTCGTACCGGTAGGCGAAGTGTAGGGCGTCCCCCCACGAGATGGAGTGACGACCTGGTAAGACATGCAGGAAGTCGATGGATGCAGGTGGCTCAGGACCGTGCTTTGTGGCATTCTTTGGGGGAAGCCTATGTTCAGCAGTGGACTTGTGAAGGGCTGTAATGATGATGATGATGATGATGACTCTTGAGGAACCGTGACAGCTGCCAAGCATGTCGACTACAGAAAATCCTCCACATACAGACTCATGTGAAACAGTAAACTATTTCCGAGCTAATAGTAATGAAATAACCTCTTAAAGTGTTACGGTCTACGGCTGCTCCAGCAAGGGTCCGTGGAATTTCCTATCACAATAAACTTTATGGGAGAAAACTAGAAACACATAGTACTTACCGTTATCCGAAGCTAACTTCGCACCAAGGCTTGGGCAGGCCGTGAGTGTGTGTAATAGTGGATGGCGAGTACTGTACAGTGAGGTGTAAATGTCTGCGACCTGAGCAAACTTAGGCGACCAGCAGCGGCCGAGTTCCAGGCTGCCCCAAAATGCTGCATCGCTCCAGCAGGCTCCATCGCTGGACCATTTCTTTCTTCATTGTCACTAATTCAGTCTCTTAGCTTCATTGTACATTTAACTAACTTCAATTCGCCTAATTCCACACTCATCGCAGAATCGAACACGTGATATACGACACGGCAAGGACAGTAGCACAAAATTCGACATTGAATGTCCCGGATTCACTTATCACAAATAATAAATTCGACACAGAATAACACGTCGCACAAGATTCAAAATATGCCTCGTTGACACACAAATTAATTTAACTAGGCAACCAAAACACAAAAAGGCACTAACGCGACGACCCAATTATAACGATATCCTGCCAATTAACCGGGAGAAGCTCTCAGACTAGGAATGCGCGGCTCGAATCCAAGACCGTATATCTAGTCGACGCGCGTACACTATTCCACACTCTCGCACGAATAAATATCGCACAATTCACATATCTACGTGACGAAGAAGCACGTACTTCATCTAGCTATCTAGATCTACGACGGGACGTGAATTTAGGTAAGAGGACCTGACGGTCTCCCCGCCTCGTGGCTGGCGGGGTACCGACCTTTAGCCCGCGCGTCGAGCGACTGACTCCCACACAGCCGCGCACGGTCGCCCCACCTCGGCGCTTATCTCACCTACATACCATCGGGTGAGGCACCAGCTCGAACGCAATTGGGTGGCGTTCAAACATGACCAAATTTGGGCATAAACATAAAGATTTGATTAGAAAGACTAATTTGTTACATAAATGGAAAAAGACAACAAAGAAGAAAATAATTTAATGTATTTATTATGAAATTTGTAATGATAAATCAACAACTTTTAATTCCAGAAGCTTTCTCATGCAATTCCCAGCACTGGTCCCAGAACTGGCTCAGTCTTTGTTCGTGATTCGCGCAGAAATGTTTGAAGTCCCTCAGCATCCTCATTTGGAACGTCTCATCACCAGTAGCCGGCTGTAGCCATTTCCACTTTTTTGAAATCATATGATTCCATGACCACAAAAAACCCATCTGAAATAATAGAATTATTAGGTATCGTTGCTTTACTAAAAACAATCACAAAACATAATTCTATGAACATTACTATAGTTCATTTCAAATAGGATGGCAGGATTCCACTTGAGACTTAGCAATTACAGCTGTAATGTTAATCTATTGTTGTGTGATTATTTTATTGCTTTAACACTTGAAGTTAAGCATCTGTTGATAATACTGAACCAGTATAGCTGGAATGACGAATTTTGGTACTTGAACATTAAAACAAATTAAATTGTAGATAAAAAATCTTTAAAAAAATTTTTTGGAAGAATGTTCGTGACCATGTCATAAGAGTGGAAAACGAATTTTCGAGGGATCGGATACAACCATTTATAATAAATACGTGTGAGGACATAGATACCGATGAATGTTCTTCAGAGTGATTGATTAAACAAAATATTAACAAGTTGTTATAAGTATTTAAAATAGTTAAGTTAAAAGTAATAAAGGTTTTTTATCTACAATTTAATTTGTTTTAATGTTCAAGTACCAAAATTCGTCATTCCAGCTATACTGGTTCATTATTATCAACAGATGCTTAACTTCAAGTGTTAAAGCAATAAGATAATCACACAACAGTAGATTAACATTACAGCTGTAATTGCTAAGTCTCAAGTGGAATCCTGCCATCCTATTTGAAATGAACTATACCACAATAGGATTATGTCATCACAGTAGGTTTCATATAGAGGAGTAAATCCTGCATTTACGTACATAAATTGTACATGGATAACATCCAGACCCGAAGAATTATTTGTAGATACACAATTATTTGCATCGAATTCTATGCATGCGAAATTAAATGTTTTATACTTCTTACCCTTCTACTGTTATCATAGTCATCTTTATTTTTGCCGCTAACATGCCAGGATATGTAGCCTTTGTGTGGACTGGGAGCTACTTCCGAGTGTACTGGATACCTGGTAAGAAAATAATAATATATGAAAATATACAACCATTTAAATTAAGGATTCATTATAAGCTAACTAACTAGTAACTGCCCGATAAGACAATCTGATGAAAAAAAACCTACAATTATGGTACGCACAGAATTTCGCGCTGCAGAGACGTTGTCATCACCTGAGATGAAGAATGCCACTAAAATGGATCTCTGGATTTTTACACTCGTCATATGGAAACGGTAGTGTTATGTTGCTATTTTACGGTTCTTTATTAGCGGTATGTCATGTGGTGGTCACAATTATATTAATTGTTTCTTCGTCTTCTTATTGCCGCTTCAACTATAATGTAAAATACATAAAGGTCTTTTTGTAAGTGCGTCAAATTAGTTAAACATTTTTCGAAAAAATGAATTCATTAATCGTCTCTCACTCCGCAAATTTCCTGATTACACTACAAATCAAATGATTGGCAAAGCAAAGAGAACATCGGGACCAAATATATTATATTTATACTTTATAAAATTATTTCTTATTCAAAAGATATTTGTTTCCCAAATTGTAGCGTTAATAGTCTCACAATGGTACTGTGTTATGTTTGGTGAGTGTAGAGAACCGGAGACCGGAGATCCTTTTCATTGGTAACGAATCATCCATCGTATTCATTTTATCTAATATTCAGGTGTGACACAGCATCTACATTTTAGACTCTTAATTAATAATAAATGTGGGTGTCAATGGACAACAGTATTAATTAATGACCTCCAGATAAAATTCGGTCATGGTGGCAAGTCTTGACGGATACTAGTTATTACAGGTGCACTCTCTATAACCTCACTCACATAGTCCGATGGGACGGTAATCCGACACGACCGAAGAGAGATATGGCGCAGGACCAACGTCTTTACGTGTTTTCTGGGACACGGGGGTGAAACTACGCCGACATCTTGACAGAAAAAAAAGTGGTTTAGGCCTGACCCGGGACCTCATGATAAGCAGACGCGCTTATGGCCACTCGACCACAGGCATTCAAACACACACTATAGTATCATTTATCATCAGGTGGACTGTGTGTTCGCTTAACACCCACCCATACTCGTAATTATATAAAAAACATTTGAGCACTTCACACGCGGTAGAAGTGAAACCTTCAGAAAAATGCGAGTAAAATTGCTTTGTAATAGCGCCTTCTATATCATTCTATAGGTAAAGTGATTTTATCGAACAAAAATTGATTGACTCTCAAGATGGTACGTAGACGCTAGATGGCATTAACACGACTAATTTAATATAAATCGGTAAGTTATGAAATCGTGGAATATACTGAAAAGGAAAAATAAATTTGGATTTTTAATTCCACTCCTTACCCCCCATTCCGCGAAGTTAAAAACGCACCCTCATACAATAACAAAACGCGCCCCATATTGCAGTGTTGCGTACCTGTTGGCATTGAGCGGCTTGTTGGGCGGGCGGGTGCGGGCGCGGTGCTCGGTGCACTTGACGGCGGTAGGGATGAGCACGAACATGTTGCGGTCATGTGCACGTTGCAGTACCACTCACCTGTTGGCATTGAGCGGCTTGTTGGGCGGGCGGGTGCGGGCGCGGTGCTCGGTGCACTTGACGGCGGTGGGGATGAGCACGAACATGTTGCGGTCATGTGCACGTTGCAGTACCACTCACCTGTTGGCATTGAGCGGCTTGTTGGGCGGGCGGGTGCGGGCGCGGTGCTCGGTGCACTTGACGGCGGTGGGGATGAGCACGAACATGTTGCCGGTCACGTGCACGTACAGCTGGTCGCCCACGCCCTCGTGCGACGTACTCTCCACTGTGCATTTGGTGAACCCGAAGCGGCCCGCGATTGCCTCTTGGAATAAGAACAGCCGCTCCGGCCACGTTTCTTCTGGGAATCCTGCGGATGGTGTCAATATAAAGAAGCAAGTTTCCACATTGTGGAAAAATAGAGAATAAAATTAAATGTAAATTTTATTCCCATTAAGTGACATTTTGGTTGTTACCAAAAGGTGTGAATAATTCATAGTCTACTCAAAAGGGTCAAAGGATTAAAAATAAATAAAACAGACTTAAAAGAACTAAAGAGAATAAAGGCCGTGGCTTTAAATTCTTCAATACTTACTAACTCTTACACCTATTAAATTATGTAGAAAACATTTTATTAGTTTTAGATAGTTTTCGAACCAATGAAAAACAAAAGAGTGACTTTCAAAAAGCATTATTTATAATCTATATTGAATAAAAAGTTGCTGTTTCTGTTTCAGTTCTTTGAAGTAGGTTTTTACTTTTCCTTAAACTTATATTTTTTAAATTAAATATTATGTCACCACATTCCGCCTTAATAGAAAAAAACTTTATATAGTTAATCTGAGGTTTAAACTAGACTGTTTCAATAAAAAAGTTCTGAAACGAAATATGCGAACAAAAATGTAAGACATGGGGAATTTGATAGCAAATATGAAATTTAGCAAAGACTTAGGCACCGCGGCTAAGGAACTTTTTTTGTGACAGACTTTTCTTTAAACCTGTGACAAACCATGTTTTGTAATACGATTAATATTAACAACATCAAAAATACGCATTGTGTACACTGAAGCTATATTTCCGTATTTTAGCCGTTTAAAAATGTTCTCAATTAGACTGTACTACTGACTGAAGAAATAGGTCTAAGGCACACTTTGTGGAGTATACGGCTTAATGTATTTTAACATAATATGGGGCGTCGTTAGATTCGTCATAATTATGGAAGTGACATAAGATACAAATTTTTCTCTTTTCAGTATAATTCTTTTATGCATTCGGGTTTTTCTAAATTACTATTTTGCCATTGGGCTTGTTTGTATGTACGCCATATCTTTATTAATAATTGTGAACAAATGAAATGTTTCAAAATGGGCCATCTATGTACACAAACTCAAAAAAAGAGAGAAAAATCTGTAGAATTCGGGAAAAATACAGATAATTCGTGGCCATAAACAATTGATGTAATGGTAAACAATTGATGTTTATCAATTATTTTTATCGACTTCAACATGGCGTCTCACCGAATTAGTTACTCTGTGCTTATAGACAATGCCAGTAAACCATAAAGTGACCAGTGATCATAGAAAGAGAACTGTCAGTTGTCACAACAGTGTCACTTTCGGGTTTTAGCGGGAACTTGACCGGCGGCGGTTTGCTGCTCCTATATTATTGTTTAAATAATGGTTTGAAGTTGGTCGAGCAAGTAGATGAGTATGTGTATTTGGGATGTGTGTTTAGCAGGGATGGTAGATATAATAAGGATATAGAACGACGAGTGAATGCAGGAAATATAGTGAATGGGGCTCTACACCCTATCGTGAGAAGTCAGAATGTGTCCAAAAAGGCACGTATGGCGATTCACAATGCTGTGTTAGTCCCTACTTTAATGTATGGCAGTGAAAGTTGGGTGTGGCAGAAGAAGCACGAGAGTAGAATATGGACTTCCATTTGGCACGATCCTGACACAGCTCTCTCGCTTCCTCCACATTCATATACCTACGCATACACGCTCGTCGTTCTACATCCTTATCATGTCTACCATCCCTGCTAAATACACATCCCAAATACACAAACTCATCTACTTGCTCCACCAACTCCCCTTCTATTCTTATTTCACATATCGTTTTACTTTCTTCTTTTTCAAAAACCATAACTTTCGTCTTACTTGCGTTCACTTTCATTCCCTTTTCTTTTAATGTCCTGTTCATTAATGTAACCATCATTTCCAACTCGGCCGCCGACGACGCAAGTATGACTTGATCATCGGCGTACAAAAGGCATTTGACGGTTAACTCACCCATTCTTAAACCTTAAATAGGTTCTTTTACTTTCACATTTTCCAAACAACTGTCCATAAATAGGTTGAACAGCCACGGGGAAGCCACACAGCCCTGTCTGACACCTTTATGGATGCCAAACCAGACCGAGTAGGCCCCGTTGATCCTGACACAAGCACTAGAGTCCCTATACAGAGACTTCAATGCCAGTATTAACCCAGCGTTCAACCCAAATGAGTTCAGTGTTTGCCATAACACATCCCTGTCCACTCTGTCATAAGCTTTCTCCAAGTCCACGAATGCACAAAAACCTTTTTGGCTTTTGGCCAAAAACTTCTCCGCGATCATGCGCATGGAAAAGACCTGATGTGTACATCCCATTCCCTTTCTAAATCCCGCTTGCACATCCCAAATTCCAATCAGATTCTTTCATAACTATTTCAATTAGTACCTTAGCATACAGTTTTCCCACAATGCTAAGAAGGCTGATACCACGGTAGTTTTTACAGTCCTACTGTGATCCATTTCCATTATATATTGCGACTATTACGGCTTTGCACCAGTCTACCGGTACCCGCTTAAGTTCCCAATATAAATTAAACAAGGTATACAGCAGGTCTGCCACCTCTCCTTCTCCAGCCCTTAGCATTTCGAGAGATACTCTATCATATCCGGCTGCCTTACCTGCTTTCATACTTTTCATTGCTTTCATTATTTCATCTATTAGAGACATAGAGACATAAGTTTAAAATATGTTACCCTATTTTTGAGATATTATACACATAAGGACCTGGCCCCGGCTCCATGCATTTTGGAACATCTCATTTCAATTATTCTTTTTTATATTTAAATAGGCTATACCTCAAGGTTGGCTCTATTAAAATATGATTTAATGAGTCCAATTTCACCCTTGATAATGGAAAAATAAGCAATAACATTTTTAATGTTTTTACAAACTACCTTCTAGTTTTTACCCTGAGGTTGTGTATGTATTGCTTAGTTCACTCAGGGTCATAAAATTAATCTTTTAACTCTTCGAAACAATGATTTGGTACCGACTTAGAAGCTATTAAATTATATCAACATTATTTTATTCTTTTTATTTTATGAGCGAGAAAAACGCTATTTCTATAAGATTGCTACCAAAACTATAATTTTCTTATCTTTGTATTATCGTGTCATCATGTTTTTTTTATAGGATAGGGTGACAAACGAGCACACAGTCCACCTGATGGTAAGTGGTTGCTGTGGCCCATAGATATCTACATCTATCTTTGATTAAGAATCAAAATGTAGATGCATTGTCACCCGTGATGACTAAGATGGAATGCCTCGTTTCCAGTAAAAAGGGTCTCCGGTTCTCTACACTCACCATACGAAACACAGCAGCGTTAAGCTGCTATTTTACGCTGGTATTTTGTGAGAGCGTGGTCCTACCCCTGTCGAGCCGACCCATTCGTGCTACAACCATAATATAGCTGCAGCATGGCTCTACCACGTAAATCATGTTTTGAAAGTAACTGTTTCATGATAAAACACATATTTAAATAAGGTTTACTAATATACCTTCAAATAAAGCATTCTTTCCCCTCAACAAGGGCTCTTCATTCAGCGGTATATAAATTGGACCGCGCAACGGATCCGACTTTAAGGTAAATGGCAGAGCGAGCGGGTCTGCTGGAATAGGCAACATTTGCAAACGGCAGTTTTGTGCTTTACGCGCCCATCCTAGGATCTGTATATAAATATATCTAATATTAATGAAAAGAAGGTAGATACTTCAATTGTACGTATTGTTACACTCTATTACACGAAAGATAATTAGCATAAGGCTACAACACATTTTCATTACTCCATCATCATTCATCATTTTAGTCTATCAAAAGCTTAACATAGGCCTGCCTCATACACTGCCTTAAAGAAGCATTATGATGTAATTACTTTCGCTTGGCAGGCGGATTGGCAGGCCAGGTATTTTATTATTTTCAGTTGTTATCAGAAAGATGCTGCTACCCATGTTCTGTTTTATTTCCCTCTGTGGCTTCTGACGACACCCACTGCGCGTCGCCACGACACAGAAAACTTCTTAATTTATTTACTTGCAAATAATTTTTCCATATTTACAACAAATGCGTAGCTGCAATGGATATCGCGTAAACGTAACAGCTCATGGCTAGAGCGCCCACTAGTTTCATAGCCCGCGTTAACGGGAATTCGATCCGGTATCACTGAGTGTAACTCACAATTTTAAGTGTTCATTTACCAGAACCACGTGATCAGCGGTGAGGAATAATAATCTTTCTCAATATAGAAAAGGCGAAGTGTAGGGCGACCTCCCACTAGATGGAGTGGCGACCTGCATGTTACTCAAGACTTTTGCTTTGTGGCATTCCTTGGGGGGATGCCTATGTTCGGTAGTAAAGGGCTGTAATGAAGATGAAGATAAAAAATAATTAAAAGAGTAAGGAAAGTGTTAAGTACCAGTTCAGCGACGATGTTTCCACTGGCGACTGCCCACTGTATGCACATTTCATAAGCTTGGTCGGGTCGGAACGTAGCTTGATAACGCGCGTGTCCCCACTCGATGCGATCGCTTTTATTATTCACATCAATGTCTAGATGAGTATTCTTGTACAGTGGCACTGAATAAAAAACATCAAGAATTAAAGAAAATTATAAACACGAAATATTTGACTGTGTGTGTGTGTGTGTGTGTGTGTGTGTGTGTGTGTGCTCACTGTCGCTGTCGCCGCCGTGGTCCATGTATCGCGGGTCGATGTTGTGGCAGAGGAAGGCGGGCGCGCCGCTCAGCTCGGCCGCGGCCGCCGCGCCCGCGATGTCCACGCCGCCCGACACCGGGGCCAGCAATGGCGATCGTGGCCCTAACACCTCCACCTCCATCCACTCGTTCTCGAAGCTCTGCAAGTCACCTAGCGGCTTAACGTACTCCGTTGATTCTGTTGGTAATAAACAATAAACTCATGAATTAAATTTTATTTGACATTTGGAAGTTGTTGAAATGTACCCGTGTTTTTACCTACATAAGGGTGACAAACGAGCACACATAACACTCAATGGTCAAGTGAATGCTGTGGTCTATGGACATCTTCATCTATCCTCGATTTAGATTCAAAATGCAGATGCGTTTTTACCCCTAAGGACTAAGATAGAATGCCTCATTACCGATATAAAGGCTCTCCGCATTCCGTCACTTACCATACGAACCTAGCAGAATTATGCTGCTATTGCATGCTGGTATTCTGAGCGAAGATGATCCTACCCCAGTCGAGCCGAATCCTCCATGCTGCAGTCGTAATACGCTGCAGAATGGCTCTACCACGTACGTAATATCTTCACGTTATGTAGTCTGGAGAGACCGATAAGAATGTCAGTGTGTTAACGTTTACACGTTAGAGAACATATTCGTCTCGTATATCTCGCGAATATACACCACTATTTTGTAAATACAAAAAAAAAGACCAAATAAAGGACAGTTGATAATGGCACTGTCAGAATTTTTTATTGTTTATCTATAACAATATTATCGATGTTTGTTTTTATCCAAAATCTGGCGTAATTTTATTGGCACAGTACTAGAAAATACTACACAAGTCAATAACTTAAGCACTCCATACATAAGACACTCCCGTTCCATCTCCCACCAACCCACCATTACCTAGTACAGTACCTACGTCACAACTCCTTTCTCACTCGCCGTATTCCCTCGCTTACTTCAACGGCTCACGAAAAGAATGCCGGCCGGCGCGTGAGCGAGACAGCAAGCGATTTATGAATGGATCGAATTCAAGTCAATTCTCTAACCACTTTAATTAACGAGTAACTAATTATTATCTTTTTTTGAGATATTTTTTTAATTAATTATTTTAAAATTTTTCTTTTTTTATAGAAATAGGGTGACAAACGAGCACACAGTCCACCTGATGGTAAGTGGTTGCTGTGGCCCATAGACATCTACATCCATCCTCGTTTGCGAATCAAAATGAAGATGCGTTGTCAGCCTTGAGGACTAAGATGGAATGCCTCTTTTCCAGTAAAAAGGGTCTCCGGTTCTCTACACTCACCATACGAAACACAGCAGCATTAAGCTGCTATTTTACGCTAGTATTCGTGCTACAACTAAATTATAAATATAGCTGCAGCTTGGCTCTACCACGTAATAACTTTAACTTTTCTACCTAAATGTGATGCATAACAATATTTTGGTATTTAGAAAATATGGGTGTATAAGATATATCACTTCAAAACTCATTAGATTCGATGCTAAATTGCTTTACGAATTCCTGATGAAGTTTCCATTAATATCGCAGCCGTAGTTTATTAAACAATTAAAATGAACTTTCAATTAGTCACCACATAGAAAGTTGATAGTGAGGTGATTTAAACTTTATTTTAAAATAAAATAAAAAACATATTACTCTGCAGACGTCCGAGGCTATTTAATTCATTTAATATTAATAAATGTAGTTATAAAAAGGCCAGTAAATAATTTTTACTATAAGTCCAGCCTCTACTTACCATCAGCTGAGCTGTGTTTGTCACCCTTATTCTTTAAAAAGTATTTTAAATACCTTTGTCCTTTTTCTGCGGCAAAATATGATACATGTAATATCCAACTACGAAGCGTTTTGTTGTGTCGCCCGAGGCGTGACAAATCATTTTCTCTTGTAGCATTTTCTGGAAATAATTCAAGTTGTAGAAAATAACAGTTTTGTATGAAAATTTTGCGACTAGGTGAAACTAAGTTGTTTAAACATTTTATTGTGAAATGTTTAAATCAATATTTTTAGGAAGTTCAAATATTATTTATGTAGTATTCTAATATACATTTTTTAACTTTTTTTTAGAATGGGGTGACAAACGAGCACACAGTCCACCCAATAGTGGATGCTGTGGCCCATGTGGCCAAATATTCAAACGTTACTCAATTTTGTAGTTAAGTCTCATGGTGTCACGGTCACTTTGACTTAAAGTGATAGAGACAGCACGAGACTTAATGGCGTCTTAAAATTGAGTAGCATTTGAATATTTGGGCAATAGACATGTACATTTATCCTCGATTAAGAATCAAAATGCGGATGCGTTGTCACCCCTGAGGACTAAGATGGATTACCTCGTTTCCAGTAAGAAAGGTCTCCTGTTCTCTACATTCATCATACGAAACACAGCAGCATCAAGCTGCTATATGACGCTGGTATTCTCTGAGAGCGGAGTCCTTCCACGGTCGAGCCGAGCCATTCGTGTTAATATAGCGTGGCTCTACCACGTAAGAAAACTGAGCTGTGATAGCTCAAATGCCGTGCCCAATGAAAAATATTTTTTTAGTATGCGAGCTACCCGAACTCGATTCCCGCCAGAGCACTGAAATTTACAACCGTAATTTAAAGTGCTTTATGCCCATCTTCGACAATGAAGGTAAATATCGTGAAAAAAATTCACGTGTCCAAGAAATTAAAACTATTCCGGGATATGTGAAGAACTGTATGTAGGCTGGCTTACTTCAAACTAAGAAATTCAAAATCATTTTAACAATCATTAATTAATACATACATCCATAATAGCGGTAGCCTTCTCGTAAGTCATTGATTCCATGTTGGCCTGTAGCCAATGTATTGCGTATATTGAGACGAAGGCCTGAGAAGGTAAACTCACTGTCTGCTGTAGGAAACCAACGCCTAATGTTGGATGACGCATACGCTCTATTATTTCAGACAGGCTAGAATTTGCTTTTAACTTTGGCTCTATTACTCTGCAAAATATACACATTTAGATTAGAATAAAATGGAATAATTTTTATTTAATATAAATTACATATAACTAATACCCTTATTGAACGTCATTTTTCACTTTTATCACTGGTTCGGAAAAACCTCTATACGGGATAGAACCAACAAAATTGCAATAAAATACATAAATAGTGTATATAAAATAAAATTATAAATTAATTTTAAAAACTGCTTGAAAGTGATCGCCACATTTTTAGGGGTTATTATCAACACTCTATTCATTATTATTACCTACAATAACCTTTTTATAAAATATTTGTTTAAATATATTTATTAAGCGATTGATAGACCTTATACTTTCTGGGACGTAAAAGCGTGTATGAAATAAGAAGGATGCAATTTTTAGTACGAGGACGACAATGAAAGTTTTTAGAACTGGTCACTAGTAACCGATATAATAAAAAAATTAGTTCATTTTTTGAAAATGGAACTCTATGTCAATATTATTGTGTATGTATTTTATTAATTTGTCATTTGTTTACGATTTGGCGACAAATTGAAAATTATCTGTGTTATGTCAGCATGAATTTAACGCGAGAAAATTTTTGTACAATGATTTTTTTATGACTTTCGATGTCATTTAAGTCAACAAGAAAGTTATGATAGACTTCAATTGGCCTTTCACCACAGAATAAATAATAGTACTATGTACAAAAGTTGCAGTCCTTTGATTTTGACTGCTTACCGACGTTTTAATAGCCTACATAGTTAATATTAATCAGATAAATCGCGCACGCAAGATAAATAAAACTTTATCGCTGCGCGCGAGTGTCCGTATTACTTTGCACCTTTTCCCCTTCCTACGTCACAACGGACTTTCCGTGGTTGCTAAGGGCTGTTAATAAAGAGTAAGAAAATACATTGTGAAATGGTAAGTTACTTAGGTAATGTACCTATGCCGACTATAATCGACCATATTATCTACTAAGTGAGTTCTATGATACCCAACGCATGCAACTTGCAAGGCCATTCGTCGGGAATCGCGATGCTTAGTTCGTATAGGTAGGTCGATAGCGTAAACAACAAATAAACCCGAAATACGATTCCCAACAGAAATATGATCGTAATCTACTTAGTTCAAAACCTTGTAAACAAAGTTTTAATTTCAGTATTTTGTGCTTATATTATAACTTAAAATATTTTAATTAAGACAAGTATACGTATGTATATATATAGGTAGGTACTTGAGTAGTGAAGTAAATTTCAACTAAGTTTTGTAATAAAGTACTTAGGTATTACTTCTGAAGTTAAATTATTCCATAATTATTTTTTCGCTATAAGTACCTATCTAACAAAACAATGAAATAAATTCACATTTCCTTATCCTTCGGTAACTTAAAAAATGGTATATCTGAATTCTTTTAATTGCTCATTAAGCATCCATCTCCGCAACAATTATAGTAGGGACGACGTTTTGCCGTTATAATTTATCAAATAGATAGGTAATACATATTATATATAAATACAATATATATATATTATTATTCTTAAATTACATTAAAACTTTTTCAACTATTTTATCCTACAATTTAATATAGTAAACACTAAACAAAAACTATTTCGACGAGTATTTCAACAAGTATTTACAAAAAACTATTTACGTAAACAGCGTTAAAAAACTTTAACATTCGACCGCCTAGAACGCGCTAGCCCCGACTGCGATCTACCCCTGGGGCAGCTCGCGACTGTAGGTAATTATTTCGCGCAGGTAGCAAGAGTGACAGAGGCCTGCTTTCACGATGAAGCCCCATCTCGTGCCACTGTTTACAACTGGTTTAATGAGTTTAAACGTGGTCGTACTAATCTCACCGATGATGTGCGTGAGGGACGGCCTTCTACAGCGACGACTGAAGATAACATCATTGTTGTGCGGCGTATGAGAGACTGACAAAAGAGTGACTTATCAGCAGATTCGGACAAGCTTAGGCATCGGTATGAGTCTAGTGCACAAAATCCTCCATGAACATTTAGCGGTCAGGAAACTTTGTGCCCGGTAGATACATCATAATTTGACAGAGGCCCAAAACTCCGTCGTGTTGATTGGTGTCGTGAAATGGTTCAAAGATTTAATGGAGGTGACTCAAATGCTGTGTTCGACATACTTACGGGTGACGAAAGCTGGGTTTATTGTTATGATGTGGTCTACCACTACCATCTCGATACATGGTGGCTCGATACATCTGGATGATTGATGGTTCACCAATGTGCGATTTACTAATTTTCTTCCTCACACGACTTACTTGTGGAATCGACTACCACCAGCGATTTTACGGATCAAAACGACTTAGGGACCTACAAGAAAATAGCCCACTTTTTTGTAAATGCTGACAACGCATCTACAATTCCCCTGATGTTGCAGTTGTTCATGGCCAGCGGTAGTCATTTACCATCAGGTGAGCCGCCATGCTAACCTCTTATATTAAAAAAATGATATATAAATATTATGAAATATTTTATATCTGCTTCTTACCCGTCATCATACGTATCTTCAGTGTCACCAGTTTGCGACTGCGTCCTTTCGAGGACAGTTTTAGCTGCAGCCCTAAAATTATATGCACTGTGTGATTATTAAGCATTAGAAATACATAAATTTAATAATACAAACATCGATTGATATATGCTCAAGCGATTAAGGCAAAGATCCATCAAAGCGAAAAAATGACAAAGAAATAGTTGGGATAAAATGATGATCTAAAAGTATGGACGCGATCAAAGAATTTTAACATGCATCAGACACACACAAAATTGAAATTGTCATATTAGGGTTCGCGTATACTCAAATATCTTAATTGATTACGTAAGTCCTAAACCTCGACTGTCAATAAAAAATGTCTTTTTGTCATTAAAGATATTTTCTAGCTCACCTGAGTACAAACAATTTTATTGAATTATAATAAGCAAAAAAAGTGTTTTATGTCGATACAAACATGTCATTCGAATACCCATGAGCAAACAAAAATTCTTTTTTAATATTTTTTTTTTAATTTTTATCGTAATATATTTTTATAACTAGAGCTGCACTGCTCTATAAAAGAAACACGAATACATTTTTGGACATAATATAGCCTGCTGATATTATTTTACAACGGCAATACGCGAACCCCATTAAGATTTTGTTGAGATGTAATAGCAAGTAACATACTTACTTGTTGCATTGACTAGTGTTTAGTGACTTAGTAGGTGATAATTGCTGCAATGAAACGTTCGAAAAGTATAAGAAAACAAGCAACCGATAGAAGAAGCTTAAGCGTACGGATAGAAAATATTAGCATATAGTAGAAATGAAAATCTTGGCAAAGGAGCTGAGAAATATCTGCAACGTGAGGAAAGCAAAATTAAAACATGAATAGTGTAGCGTTTATGTATAGATTGTAAATATCAAAGAGAAAGGAAAGTTTCAAGCGTTCAAAGGAGAGGGTAATATCAACAAAGCGTGTTATAAATATTTGTAAATTTTATAGATTTTTAATAAGCAGATTTCAATGAAATCTTTAAAATAAAGTATTTTATTCGACAGTCATCCTTTATCTTCTAAAAAAAACCATTGTTAAAAAAGCTGTGACGCTTTCATATTATTTTGTAATTAATATAATCAAGTTTTACGTTAAAGTTGCTAACTTAACGCTCTTACAATAAAACAATTCGTTATTGTAACCAAAATTTTACTTAAAAATATATTATTAGCACTTATTTTAACATATGTAATATAATATTGCACTTTTAAACTTTTTTTTTTGTTTTATACTAAATGTATTTTGCTTATTATTAAAATGTAGTGAAGGTTTAAGAGCTCAACTAGAAAGGAATGAAGAAATTTAAGAAAGGATATCGCAAAAGCGAAAATTGAAAACCAAACACCACCAAGCACAACACCACATAAGGACAAATGCCAAACAGTGTGAAAGGATCTTGCACGTGTATAATTCAACAGCAATGAGACACGAAAGAGTATATCGAATATTACGTAATAAAGGCGTTGAATTATACACGTAAAATGTTACTACTACGGGCAATTCGTGACCTGGTAATCGACATAAGTATCGAATGCACAAGTCAATAATAACCTGTACCGACTTAGATTTAGTTGAAGTTGCAAGAATGCGTTTAATGAGATACGTGTACGTGCGATTTCTATTTGTTAATTCGATGAAGTTGGGCAATCGATATAAGAAGCGTGGAACAATCACATGTCACGTGTGTGGATACTGACATAGCTTCGATCCGGAGCCGTGGACGGTCCGGCAGACGAGTGCTGCCCACGCGCTCTCTGAACGGAGAGCTCGACACACCGCCCTGCTACACCACACACAACACGCACGTTAACAAATCTCAATGACAAAACAACGCATCTGCACTTTGGCCTCATTCGAGATAGCTCACTAAACCACTTGAAACAAAGTCTACTTTCATTATACAACCAAAAGCAAAGATACATCTGTTTCGGTATATCAAAAATCTACGTCGCACCTGTCTCAAATCAAAGGATACAATTTAATTAAGAAAAGAAGCCAGCAAACAATTACAAGGTACAGAGTGCGATCCGTGCATTTTGCATAATTATAAGCAGTGCCAATATGTACGCATGGCAACAAAGAGAAATGATTTAGCATTGCAGGTAAAGTTTGATTAGCGGTTTTCTCATGAGGGTAGTAATTCCAATGAGCGCTACTTCCAGGGAGCACTTGTAAGTATGAAAAACATGGTTAAAAATCGTCTGCGTTATTTAAAATACAGTTTAGATTTTGGTTAGTTCTAATACAAGCGCATTAAGGTCGAATATTGAATCTCCGCAGCCGTATACACAAATTAACGTTATGTAGCTCAAGTTGAACTAATTAAGCTAAAATATGCCAAAGAAAAAAAACAGCTTATAGATTATAAGACTAAAAAACATCAACACCTACTTAGGGCTAAGATTGGACCGAATTAAAGTCTAAAGAAAAAATATTATAGACCGTGGTTATCATTCCGAAGCAAATTAATTATAACATATTATTATATTCAATTAACATAATATCATTTCTTATCGAAATAGCAATGTGCAAACTGAACCTTAATAGTCCGTCATATTAAGTCGAATTTCAATATACTAATGTTAAACACTCGCTATCCGCGGTGCCATAAATCATTGGTGCGATAGGGACAGACACGTGCGGTGCGTCACTTATCGATAACCGCTTATTAATTCCTAGAAAGATGAAGAATAGTGTGTGCTGGCGCGCGGTAGTTTATTAATAAGTGCAGGTAATTTAATAATAACTCTGCAAAGGTAATTTAATGGTTATTAATTACGTTTAGAGGCTATAAATACCTGTTTTTAATGGTTTTATAGTCATTTGACATTTGAACGTTGCTGATTATTGACTTAACATAAGTTATAACTAAAATTAAAAATTTTAAAGATAAAGATTTTCTTGAAACATAGCTAAGAACACTCTTGATGAAGATACCTTTCAAATGACAATAACTAAATCACAATCTGTTCATCCGTTCAGGAGCTATGATACCACACAGATACATAGATACACATATAAGCAGATACACAGATACTACAAACATATAACACCCCTCTTTTTATCTGGGGTTAAAAATGGACGCTTTTTGGAAAAGCAATGTTAAACGTATTGGAACAAATATTTAAACTCAAACGCGCATTGTTATTAACCCTTTCGCTGTCCCGTGCACTACATATAGGTCATTGCCATGGTCTTACTATTGTGTCTGAGAACCGGACAGTGAAAGTGTTAACAATGTGCTTACGTGTAATGTAATCGACGCGACACTGGTGCGTCACTATAACTGCCGTAAGGCCCGTAAGTGCGACAGAGAGCGCAACAGGCGGTGTCCTGTATCCCAATTCTATAACACCGTGGGCAGAGAGTGTTTAACATTGGTATAGTTTTCTAATACTTCCTTCAAGTATTTTATGGATGAGGAAACAAATGACATAGTCTTTTAGAATTACAAATAGTATTATCCTAAAAGACTATACAACTTTACTATTCTTATAAAAGAATAATTATGAAAATAAGCAATAATTGTCTATACAAATAAATAAAATTGAAGTGTCTGTATTGTCAAAACTAACAGCTTTTTACTAAATGCATATGACAGTATATACGGTACTTTTTGCCTCTTTGTCCGTTTGTTGCGGCTAATCTCCGAAATATCTGATGTTATAAGGAGTAACTTAGGCTACTTTTACTTAAAAAAAAAATAAGCTTCTCAAAACGATTAAAACCCATGAAATCCAAACGTAATAAATTCCAAGCGGACGTAGTCGCGGAGAATAGCTAGTTTTGAATATAAATAAATATATTTAAGGAGCACATAATTTTTTTTATTTTAACTTTTATATCAGCACTATATATTAGCAGAGTACATAACTTCTATATATAAATGTTAAAAAATAATATTAACATACTATAAATTATATAATATACTTAATCGTCGTCCAAAAGTCAAAGATCATGTATTATGTCAGTGTCACACCTATACACGTAGTAGTTGTTGGGATTACTACGCTCGAAGTTCTTAACTAGTGTGTTTATCTCGGACAATTTTTCGACTAGGTATCACAGATATTTATTTCAATATTTTATTCATATTTTATAGAACAACGTGACAGCACTCAATCCACCTGGTAGTAAGTATCCGCTGTAGCCCAATTTCGACCGAGAAGTCAATCGACAGATCGCGACTGGGCAGCGTTCGGGAGTCGGATTACGACACATCTCGATATGTATACATGTACACAAAACTTGAAAACAAGAATGTACAACTAATGCATGGTACCAATTATTATATTATATTGATTTGAGTCGTGGTCCTTCCCTGCTGGCCGTATAAGCAAGCTCAAAATTTCTCAGAGAGCTCTATGCTTGGAGTTTCTCTGCGTCACAAGCTTCACAATGAGGATATTTCGCAGTAGAACAGAGTAACCGACGTAGCGTAATTGTTTAGTTAGCTGAAAGGACAATGGGTTGGCCATATAGCTTATAACCGACACAACCAATGAAGAAGAAAGATTCTCGATTGCTTGCCTTTTACCGGTGTAGGGCGGCCCCCACTAGATCTAGTGAAGACCTGGTAAGACATGCAGGAAGTCGATTGATGTGAGTGGCGCAGTATTGTGTTTTGTGGTATTCCTTGGTGGAAGGCCTATGTACAGCAGTGGACTTGTAATGGGCAATAATGATGATGATGATGATGATTTAATCGCCTGCACATGTGTGAGCTTTTTGTAATTTGTGTACATTATGTATTGTGTAAATTTCTCGACTACATTTGATTATTCTTCAGCTTTCCTAACTGAACAATTTTTAAGTTATTTTTATTAATACTACTATTAATAAATAATTCTATATCTAACAAAAATATATACACACTAAGATAAAAGACAACTTTCAAAAATTACAAGATACGCCGAAATTGGTAAGTAAAACAGAGAGGAAGCATGATGGTGGAGATTTAATTTAACTTATTCGAAATGGGGTCTTAAACTACGGTGGTCATCAGAATAAAATGTGTATTTAATATCGTTTAGTATCTACTTGAAAGATAAATAAAATACACAAAATGAATTACCATAAAAATCTACACTGGGAATTGATTTTTCAACCGACTTCAAAAAGGAGGAGGTACTCAATTCGACGGTATATTTTTTTTGTGTGTTACCTCATAACCCTTTTCTCGGTGAACTGATTTCGATGATTTATTTTTTATAGACTATTTCGATAGATTAATAGCTGGTGTTTCTCATGTGGTCCCATAAAAATTTGCATTGAAGTCGGTTGTACAAAATTTTTAATTCTACCACATGTTTTGTTCTATTCTAAACTAACAAATTATTATTTTTTAATTTACTTACATTATTAACAAATTTTTAACACTGATACTGGGTTCAAAACACAGAAGAATTTTCAATATATTAATATACCCATTATCTGTGTTTTTTAAAACCAAGATGAGAATAATTTCTAATTTTGATGCCAAAATTTACTATGAAGATGTGTATGCTTTGTCCTAATAACACATTTTTTTTTTAAAATGCAACACAACCAATCACGAGATAGACATCAGATTGTCAATCGCTACTCATTCAACAGTGGGTAAATATATTAACAACATTTTTGTTACTTTGAAAAACATTGGGTCTTAAATATCATCTATACATATAATAAAACTGTAAATAGCAGATGTCTGTACATTTTATATTTTTGTAATAAAAGTGATTGAGGGGTACTAAAAATAAGTAATTAAATACATTTCTACCATTTTTAGAATTTTCTGTCTGTCTGTCTGTCTGTCTGTCTGTCTGTTTGTTTGTTAACGTATCACGTTTAAAGTACTAATTTATATCATAAGAATTGTTAAGGAAATTCTAAAGTGTACCTTCGGGTTACATTTAGTCTTTATTTCATTAAAATCGGTTCATTTCATCAAAAGTTATGATAAATATTCTGAAGTATGCGAAGGGAATTTGCTCAACGGTGGCTTTGTTTGAGTCATCAAGTTGATGTTAGCAGCGCCATCTCTCTTTAATTAAATATATACATATAATAAAAATGATGATAACATGTTGTGTCTCTTTCTGTACATTGTATATATATTTTGGTGACTAAAATCATTATGGGGAACTAAAAATAATTAAATAAGTACATTTTTATAATTTTTAGAATTGTCTGTCTGTCTGTTTGTCTGTTTTTATATGAATGCATCACGTCTAAAGTAAACATCTTTTTTTTTCAAAGAAATCGTTAAGAAAACCATAAAGCGTATCTTCAAGTTACATTTAATCTTTGTTTTATTGAAATTGGTTAATTCTATCGAAAGTAATGATTATTATTTTAAAATGTAGGTTCGAATTTGTTCAATGGCGCCATAAAAATCTCAGAAATAGTAATAAAAAGATTTGAGTGTGTAAAAAAAACGTTCCATAATAATTAATATATTTATACTTAAAACATAAAAAGAGATTTTTTGACGGCTCCGTGGCGCAGTGGCTTAGCAATGAGTTGCTGCGCTGGGGGGCGCGGGTTCGTATCCCGCACGGAACAAGTATTTGTATGGCCTACAAATGATTGTTCCGGGTCTGGATGTTTGTCCTTGTGAAATTTGTATTTGTAAACTGCCTCCACGATACAGGAGAAAATCCTAGTGTGGGGGTAACGTTTTATTTTAGAATAAAAAAAAAAAAGATTTAAAAAAGGATGTTTTCTCAAACAAAGGACGTAATAGATGGAGTTGTACAAATTACAAACTTTTCTGATTTGCTGTGTTGAGATTTTTCGCCG